CCGGCGCGGCGCCGGCGGGAGGCCGGCCAGGCCCAGCGACTTGTCCTGGCGCTGCCGCTTGCATTTGTAGCGCCGGTTCTGGAACCAGATCTTGACCTGCGTGGACGTGAGCTGCAGCGCGCCGGCCAGATGCTCGCGCTCGGGCGCCGACAGGTAGCGCTGCTGCTTGAAGCGCCGCTCCAGAGCCAGCACCTGGGGCTGCGAGAACAGCACCCGCGGCTTCCGGCGCTGCGGCCGGGCTGGGGGCGGCTCGGGGCGGCCGCCGCGCGCGCCCTCGCCGTGGCCATCGCGCTCCAGCATCCCGTTCCCGCTGCCCAGGGGAGGCGGCGGCGCGCTCAGGGCAGCCTCTGAAAACACAGGAAGCGGTCACAGCGTCAGTACCGTTCGTGCTTAGCGTGGGACGCAGCACAGCAAAGCCCTCCTGGTTTCCCCGGGGGCGGCGGGCCCTGCGCGCGCGGCCCCCGCCCGGCTCCGCCCAGTCAGTGTGTCTTTCCTGCAAGCTGCCTTGCGCTCCGCTGGAATAGAATTGTGACAATTATAGTATATCATATTATATTATTGTATTATCTATCATTGTGTGCATGCCAGCCAGACTCTTCTTCCGCCCCCCCACCCCTTCCAAGGCGCTAGAACGAATGAAGCCCGTTTCTTCCTAGCATGTGTGCGGCTATCGCCGGAAGAAACGTTTTCTGCGCCCATCGAGAGAGTTTGGTTTCCCGACTCTGGGCTGGTTTGGGTCTTCTAGTGCTCCTCCTCTACCAAGGGCGCCGAAGGGTTTTGAGAAATCAAAATTAACAAATCAAAACGAAAGACAGCTTTTCCTGGCTCCTGAACTTGAGGGTTAGAAACAGGTTCTCTGGGAGGGATTTATAAATTGAGGACTATTATTATTATTATTATTGGTAAACAGTCTCTTCTTTGGGGTCTTTCTCACAAGCAGATAGCATTAAGATGGCCCTTAAGTCATTTGATCCCCTTTGCCCAGCACCCACAAAATACAACGTTTCCTTCCCCCTGCCCCACCTCCCTCCCATCTTGGTTTCAGCCCTGTGTTTTTACCCCACAGCCACAGAGAGGGTGGTAAAGGGGGCATGCTTGGAGTGGAGTAGGACAGGCCTAGTGGTCAGGGCGGGCTTGAGCCTTTCCTCCAAAGGCATCTGAGCCCTGAGAAAGGAGGACGGAGAAAGGAAGGGGAGAATACTGACATGGGGTTCTCTGCTCAGCACACCCAAATGACACTCACTTTCAATGCTAAAAGTCAGCAAGTACACAGAGCGAGGAGGTGTTGGCCAGTACCCCACACACTCTGAGTTCCCTCCTCTTCCTGCCTTCCCTAACTTCCAGGAACTCCACTGCGGTGTGTAAGTCCAGTGCAGCACTGCGGGCTGGGCCGCGTGGGGACAGTACACTCCCAGGGCCCTGTGATCTCCCAACAAAGCTCAAACCCTAAGTTAACTGAACAGCATCGACTTAGTTTGGTGTTAAGAGTCCCCTCTTTTGGAACAATGGCGATGGCCAGTTCTGGAGGCAGCGGATTACCAGCTGGCAGGTCCGTGGTGAGCAATGCCCAATAGAGATGCCCTTTATTTTGTTAGTTTTCCCTCTTATTTGAGGCACTCGGGTGTGACTGTCCTGCTCTGAGAGGCACCCCAGCCTGTGAGAATGGGGAAGGGAAGAGAATCCTAAGCCTCCCGCCTCTCCAAAGCCATTGCAACCTGCCTGCACCCCGCAGCTAGCTCACAGGGTTTCACCGGGGACGGGATCACCAGAGTCCTCTCTCAGGACTGCTAGAGCCCAGCTTGCTCTTCACACGCTTCCTGGCCGGGAGGCCCCTGCATGCCCAGACCCCACGGGACCCTCTCCTACTGTGGAACCTGCAGAGAAATGGGGAGGCAGCTGTGTCCAGCCAGGCTGTGCATGGAGAGGGGTGGGGAGAGGGCAAGAAAAACCCTCGGCCAGGACTGAGCGAAGAGCCCAGGAGGAACAAGGGTTTCTGCTTTGATGGCTGTACTTTTTAAAGTTCCATTTATTTGGATGATTTGAAGTAGTGTGCACAAAGGGTTTTTTTTTTAATTTAACAAGTCAGATTAGGAGTCCAATGCGTCTTGATCTAGGATGGCAGTAGTTGGGCTGAAGGTCTGGAGAGGGCAGGCAGGAGGAGGTGAGGGAGAAGCGGGTGATGCGGTTGGCTTGAGAAGGGGAAGGGGTGTCTTGGGGAACAGCGGCCGGGAATGGGAGCCGCTGGAGCGGTTTGCAGGAAGAGTGAATCCTTACAATTCAGAACCGTATGTTTCCCCGAGACTCCCCAAGAATGGAGGAGTTGGGAGGGGGACTTGATTGAGGGCCATGGGGTGAGATCCTCCGGTGGGATTTTCTCAGAATTCTTGGCCAGGGAGAGAAGACAGAGTATACTCACGTGGCTCTTCCATCCGTTCCTCCTCCGATGTGGAGACGGACCCCCAGGGACGCCCAGGGGGCCCAGGGGGCCCAGGGGGCCGGCGGTCGGCCCTGTCCACACTGCTGGAGAGGTAGACCTCTGACTCACTCGGTTGGGGTCCCAGGCCCCTGGGTCCCATCCAGGGCATCGGGAAAGACCCGGGCTCGCCCTGCTCGCGTTCCAGCTGGAGGATGTCGTTGACCGAAAAGGGGGTAAGGGTGACCTGGCCCAGCAGCATCTCCGAGGCCCGGGGGGCGGGGCCGGTGGTTTAGGGGTACCCCCGCGGGGAGAGGGGCTGCACTCTGAACTTCCTGGGCACGAATGCAGGATGGAGGACAGACTCAAGGCGTGGGACACAGGTTCGATGTCCCAGACGCAGTCTCTGCAGGCTGAGGGATGGGGGAACCCCGACCACAGCCCCCCATTGGTTCTGGCGGAGATCACGTGCTGCCCAGTGCTGCCCAGTCCTCCGAAAAGGCTGGCCTGGGGGGGGTCGAGTTCCCCCAGCTCCAGTCGCGTTCCCGGGAGCTGCAGCTCCCCTCCAACACCGGCAAAGGCAAAGAAGACAGTGCGGCTGGTGTCCTGGTCAGTGCTTCCGGGGTCAGCGTGCCCGGGGCGGGGGGGGGGGGGCTGGGGGCCGCCCCATGGCATCTGGATTTTCAGCTTCATGTCAGGTCAATTCTCCAGTCACTCTTACAGCGAGGGAGAGAAAGCCGGGAGCCGATGGCTTTGAGGTGTGCGCTGGAGTCGTGGGGCACAATAAATTTGGGGGACTAGAAAGTGAGTGGGTGGGAAGGGGGTGCCTGTTTACCCCTGCGGGGGACACCCCCCCTCCCGATCTTCCGGTGTGCCTCCTGGGCTGCTGCCTCTTCCTCCTCCCTTTCTCTTCTTCCCTTTCTCCTTCCTAAAAGATGATTGTTTGGAGGGCCTAAGGGGTGGGGAGGTTGGGGGAGACTTAGAGCCCCAGAAAAGCTACTTGGACTGTTCAGTGTAGCTGCTGTGAGGCAGGGGTTAGCGCGGGGGGGGGGGGGACAGAGGTGGCAGCTCCGGCCTCCTGGGACCCAAAGGGAGGGCGTTGGGGCAGCACACCCAGTTTTCTAAGCTCATTTCCGTAAGGAGTGGAGCAAATAACTCGTCCACAGTACTAGACGACTGGGAGGATTTCTTACTTCTACCCTGAAGGGATGTGCATGGCTGTGGTTACTCCCTGAACTGGACCAAGGAAAGAGGATATGAAGGTCCCGAGTGGACCCCCCAATCTAATAAGAGTAAATGATTGGGTCGCACCGGTCCACGGTATAAGCAAAGAGATTTTAACAAATCCTTTTTTTAAATGAAATCTTAAAAAAATATAAAGTTCTTTTTTGGGTTAAATATTTCTGAATGCAAAAGCTGTTTGAATATTATTTCTTGAAACCGAGGTAAAACAAACTCACCCTCCCTTCAGCTAGTGGGCATTAATTCTGGGGGGGGGAGGGAATCATGCCAGATTTCAGCAGATTTGATAGATTAGCTACGATGTGATCAGTGATTTTATATACATGGAATTACACAATCTTCACAATAAGCTATGTCCAGAATGTTTCCAGATTCCTCTTCCCTTCCCTCCTCCTCCCTGTCTCCCACTCCCTCTCCTTCCTTCCTTCCTTCCTTCCTTCCTCCCTCCCTCCCTTCCTCCCTTCCTCCCTCCCTCTCTCTCTTTTCTGTGAGGCACTTTCTCTCTCTCTCTCTCTCTCTCTCTTCTGTGAGGAGTAGAGATGAGGGGCAGAGATGAAGGTCCTCCACTGGGTATACCCAGATAACATCAGGCTCAAACAATAAACCTTTCCAAGCCTTCTTCGCTTTTCCTGGAGATTGAGCTCTGGCTTCCTGCAAACCTCTTAACTCCTTGAGCAGTTTGCAGTTGTCTTTTTGTTTTTATTTTATTTTGAGCAAAAGGGGGCCTTACTAACTTGGACCAGGTTGGCTTCAAATTTGAGATCCTCCAATCCTCCCTGCTGGGATTAGAGATGCCCCCTGCTATATTTGGTTTTTGAACTCCCTTCCTTCACTTCCTTCTTCTCTTCCTTCCTTCCTTCCTTCCCTCCCTCCCTCCCTCCCTCCTTCCTTCTTTCCTTTCCTCCCTCCTTTCCTTCCTTCTTGTCTTCCCTTCCCTCCCTCCTTCCCTCCCTTCCTTCGACATCGTCTTCCTTTAGAGATCATATAATCTTGTGAAAACTCACATTTAAGTTTTAGCTTGCTTTTCTGATTAGAAAAGACATTGCCCCCACCTTGGGAAAATGAAAATAGAGGAAAACTGGAAGGAAAATAACATCCACCCAGAGACAGCATTTTCATACATTCTCTTCTCTGATTTAGCACTGATGAGCTCACAGGGTCTGTGCAAATGTGTATGTTTAAATTTACATCATAAACGTGTCCAGCACTTTCCTTAGTATTTTTCCAAGAATGATTTAAGACGGCAATCAAATAGATGGGCCAGAAGAGAGTATTTATTCTTTGGGAAATAAGTAAATTTTCACCAATATAGTTGTTTTGTTAAAAAAAAGGTTATTTATCTTCCATGCTTGTTTTAATCTCTATGCCTTCATTGTTCATATTTTTAATGATTTCCTCAGTATACATATGTAGATTAAAAAACACCAATGAGATATTTTGATGCTCATTAAAACATTATCACAGGACTTCATAGGAAAATCCTGTTACCTTGTTCTCTCCTAAACCCCAGCAGGTCAGGGTCCACAACACCCCACCCCCTCCTCCCTGCGCTCAGCCCCGGCGGAGCAGGAGGCACGAGGCTGGGGATCAGCCCAGGTTAAAATCTTAAAAGTCCGTGTTTCAGAGGCTCCCAGAAGCCACTGGAGAGGACCCCGGGACGCCAGCAGCTCTTAGCTTCCCGCCTTGCCTTCCTGGATTACAGGAGAATCAGATGACAGTGAAAAGGCTTTACAGCCCCTGCCAAGCAGTGCAGACACAGAGTCCGCGTCCCCCCAGGCTCTCTGGGGCTGGGCCCGGGTTCGCGTTTGCACGAGCCAGGGCTGGGCGGCCGGGTCTCGGGTCTCGCCGGGCCCCATTTTGGCCTCGGTCAGGGCGCTCCCGGTTTAGCCACCCTGCCACACCCAGTGCCAGCTAGCGTGACCCCAATAACGCGAGCTCCCCCTGCCCCCCAATGTCTGGGCAGTGGGGACCGCGTGGCGGCTCCCCAGTCGTGGTTGTGATCCGCGACAAGCGTGAGCTCTGTGGGTCCCGTGGGCTGGAGCAGAAGATCCCAGGCTCAGCTTGGCCCGTGCGCTGCGCGCTCCTCGCTCTTCACTTCACGTGCACGCGTGAAGTTGTCACCAGGAGCCGGGGACGATGTCCCTCTTGTCCACGGGAAGGGAGGCTCCAGGCACCGACGCTCCGTCCCGCAGCCGGTCCCACCCACGTCTCGGGTCCGAACTAGGACTCCGGCGTGCAGCGCCCTTTGAGCGTCCACGGCTTAAAAATGGGTCTAAAGGCAGGGATCTGTGCAAAGGGACGCAGGGCCAGCGCAGCGGGAAGCGACACTTTCCCCTTCGGTTAACTTGTTCTCGGCCAGTCCCCATTCCCCGTTCCTAAAGAGGCGCGCGGTTGGTGCGCGGTTTACCATTCCCACTGTTAGTAAGGTTGGTGCTTGTCCGGTCTGCTTTTAGACTCGGCAGTGCTCATGCCGCTCTGACCTTCCTTGGCTCATTGAAGGCCCCTGAGCTATCCAGGACTAGAGGTTTGATCATATTCCCCACTGACAGACTCCAGAACAGACCTGCAGATCTTTCTAAAACAACCCGACATGTGGGCTTTTCTTGTGCCTATTTGCAGGTCTAGCGCATGGAGGTGACTTTTGGTCCAGGATCACCCCGCGGTGGGACAGCTGAGGAAGGAAAATTAGAAGTCAGGTTTTCTCACTACCTGCTCTCCTCACCACAGCCAACACAAAGCTACCACTCTTAACCCCTTTTTGAGATCGGGCTTTCCCACGTACCCCAGGCTGGCCTCAAACTCTGATCCTTTCTGCCTCAGTCTCCCGAATGTTGGAATGACAGACCAAAATAATAGGCACTTTGCATAGCTTGCATGAAGATAAATAGGATGAATTGTAAGACTTTCCAGGAATACCTGTGCAGGTGGGATAGGGACACAGGCACTTTTGTTATTTACTAGATCAAGAATGTGCTTAGATTTATTCTTATTTGTATAACTTTAAAATTTTTCTTTAGTCACAAAGGGGTTTCAATTCAACATGTCAGTTATGAGTACAATATGCATCTTAAGCAATATCATTCTTTCTAATGGATGAGTAAAATTCCATTGTGTAAAATTCCATTACTGCATTTAGCAGGCTTGAGTTTTAAGGTATTGTCCGTCTATTTCTGGATTTCCTCTGTTAATACCTGTGCTCTATGTTTTAAACATATTTCTTCCTATTTGTCTCATGATTATTTATTTGTATTTTGGAGTGCTGGGGATCAAACTCTTTGACTTTTTCTATAGAGCCTTTTGGCATGCCTTTCTAAAATGTCACCTGTATTATTCATTTCTCCTATTGCTTCTGGATTTGAGTGACAGCAGAGCAGCTTTATGAATGTAACTGAGCTTACATTCACCTTATTTTCTTCCAGCAGGTGTATGGCTTCTTGATTTATATACTGCTGCATTTCAGTGCAGGGTGTTATTGTTTTTTAAAGAATTTAATCAGGTCTTTGCAATGGCTGTGCTGAGCCAGATCACCTTAGAAATTGGTGTGCAATGTGAAGATGTGAGGTTAAGGTGGAGACATGATGGGATGAATGGAGGAGAAGATAGAAGATTTCTCTTGCTGCTGCTTTTGTTGTTGTTGTTGGTGGTGGTCGTAGGGCTTGAGCATTGGGCCTAGGCACTGTCCTTGAGCTCTTTTGCTCAAGGTAACACTCTACCACTTTGAGCCACACTTTCTTGTCTGAGTTGGTTTTGCACAATGATCCTCAAATTTTAGCCTTCTGAGTAGCAAGGATTACAGGCATGTAATCAGAGCCTGGCTCTTATTGCTTAAAAACAAACACACAAACAACCCCCAAAAAACAGCCTAGGGGAAAAAAAGATCTGGGGCTGAAGCGTGGGGAGTGAGGGAAATTATTTTTCTATCGTGCTGGAGGGTTTGGAGTCCGTCCCCACCATCCATCCATCCATCCATCCATCCTTCCATCCATCCATCCATCCATCTATCTATGTATATACATATAT